GTGTGGTGCGTAGACGGAGGGCTAAGACTGACCGCCCACGCCGCCGTCCATGCCGCCATCCACCGCGCCATCCACCGACGCGGTCCCGCCGACCGCGCGCAGCCCGTGTGGCGCCTTGCAGAGACGTACCGCAGCCCGGAGCGGAGGAGCGGCACACGGCCGCCGTCGCAGACCATTGAGTCAAGTCGGAGGCTGGGTGCACAGCAGAACACGTCGAGCCGCGCGCTGCAGCACGTCTATTCGAGTGAGGTGAGTGACCACCAGAACACGTCAAATAGCACAAGACTCACTTCAGTCTACCGTCGCGAAGCCATCAGCGTCCGTCTGCGTGTCCTGGGTCTGTGCCCGCGCTCTGCCTGTGCCGACGCCCGCGCTCTGCACGACGCCTCCCCCGCCATCTTCTGGCCTAATGCGCACGCCGGGCCCACAACCACATGAGCCTCGAGCGACCGTGGGTGGCGTTGCGGATGGAGCGCGCGTGCGCGCGCAGTCTCCCGCACTCGGTCAAGATGTGCTGCCCATGCTGTCGCGCGCGCCCGCAGCTGCTGCTGCATTACTACAAATGCGCATAAAAGTGTAAAATATATTTCGTGTGTGACACTGGAGCGTGCGTGCTTAGACGCAGGGCCAAAACGGACCACTGTCGTCCACCGACGCGCACCGGCTGACGGCGCACAGCCCGCCCAGAACATCTGTAAGGCGCCCCGCAGGGACGCACAGTAACCCGGAGCGGAGGGGCAGCGCACAGCAGCCGTCGCGAACATCACCCAGTCAAGCCGCTCGTCTCTGCACGCGTCACTGCCCTCGCATCTGCCATGTCCCGTCTGCCGGCGCGATCGCATGCACCGCCATCCGCCGTCCTATTGGTCGACGATGCGCACGCAGCACTACCACAACCGAGGACCTACCGCCGCGCGCACCCAGACCGCCCCCCTCAAATGCGCCGCATCGGTCGTTCCCCCGTAAGCAGCCCCACAGGCATCAAGGCCCGGTCAGCACGTTCACCGTTCAAGTGCGAACAGGCACCGACTTGCTCCCACGTCCAACGCACTCCGCGCCAGCCTATCGCGCAGCGCCATTCGCCTGCGGGCGAGCAAAGGTCAGGGCGCGGCAATACAAGGCGACGTCAGGTATGTGCAGCGATGCTCTGCCCGCCCTTAGCAGCGGCAGCGTCCTGTCCCGCACAGGTCGTCCCATGGTCACGCCATCTCCGCGCCCGCACCAGCAGTGTTCGAGTACCACGGCCCGGTCAGCGCATGCTTCGTCGATGCGTGCGCAGATACTCTCGCGCTGCAATCATCGCAGCGGGCGGCGGTCAGCCGTCCTCCGCGGTGTCCCAGTGTGCGCCGCGCGATTGCTGCCAATGATTGACCTGCGTGTCCACGCTCGCCCGCGAAGCACGCCCACTTGTTACGGGCACCTCCCGCTACTATCTGCCATCGGCGGTCCTCCTTGATAGTGACGACAAATGGACGCCCGGCCAGAAGCATGACACCCGTGTCGTCAGTCTCACACCCCCGGTTCATCGAGCCCGCCAAAGCACCAGAACGCACATGTCCGGGCAGCGGCGGCCTGATGGACCGGACGGACCACGATGCCTGTTATGACGGCGTCACTTCTAGTCAACACCGCGTTGGGCAGTCACAGAGTGCCCGGCCGACTCACCTGATTCCGCACATCCTGGCCCTCCCCGCAGTCTGCCCGGCAAGCCTTGCGCACGCAAACATGGTAAGGAGCTCACCGCTGTGCACTGGGCAACTAGGCGGCGCACTCGCAGCACGGGATGTGTTCCGTAGAGATCTAATGACAACGCAATATATTTCTTGATGCGGTCAGTTCACTGCTTGTGCGGTGTCATTGTGCCCGCCGCCACATGAGAAGTGCCCGTTGTTGCAGAATCAGAATGGTCAGCGCGCGCCATCAGCAATCAGGGACACATCAAATACGCATGTTGTCGTGGTTCTCAATGAGGTAACGAGGTGAAACAACGGGGAACTCACCTACCTGCGACACAAGTAACATGTTGCGGACGAGAACTTGCCAAACCTGTGTTGCTACTGTCAGGCATGCCGCGTACCTCGAACGTGCTTGCGGGGGCCCCGGTTGCATTTTGCAGAATGCTGATAGCTAATTGTCATGACATAATGTCCGCGGCACGGGTTACCAACCAGGCAAGAGGTGTGACTTGACTGTAAATAAAATCATGAGTGCACTGACAGCGGATTCCCATACAGTCGCACATTTTGCCTGCAAACTGTATTACCATCAGTTGTTCGG